TTAATATTCATCCAATGAATATTATCACATACATATTGATTTAATCAAAGAATTTAATCAAATAAAATATTATGTTAAAATAGTGTATATAAGATAAAAAAAATATATTTTATTATTATAACTAATATGAAGTACGTGATAACTTTGAGTCTTGAACATACATACTTATTTTCAACACTAAGATCTTTTGTTTACAAAATTTAATAATAATTAAATTTTAAACATTCAAATTTTTAAAACTTATTATAGCAGGTCATTTTGCTAACTCATATATGAATCACTTTATTTTGGTAACTCACCGTAGCCTTCACCTTAATTCATAATTAAGTACTTAATAGGCCAAACCATTTTACCATCACCATTTTGTCTAAATCTGTTGCGAAAGGGAATGCGCATCGAGGCCACCACTGATTTTGGTCATAAAACCTACACTAGTTACCGAACCACCTATGTACTTCGAATATGCCAATGTCCTAGTTTTTTGGGATTTGGTTGCAATCCTAAACGACGGTGATAAGTTAGCATATGCCATGCATACTGTATAAGCGCTGAATGCATTTCAATACTTAAACAGTTATAGTGCGAGGAGCATATGATGACAAGTTTACCTCAACTAATAACACTTATATATAAAAAGAACTCTTTGATCCAAGTACACTATTTTATGATCTTATACCCTTACCGCATTCTTGAGATTGTCAGAGCAACCAGAAGCTCAAAATCCCTTAACAGTTAGTTAGTAATATTGACCAACATTATTTTTTGTGTATGTATATATAAAGTTAACGTGTCTTACTGTAAAAAATACTTTTAGTTATTTAATATTTTAATTAAATTATTTCACATTCTAATACTAAATTATTTATATAAATATTAAATTAACTATTTATTTTATGCAAAACAACTAAAATGATAATAAATAAATACATGACATATATTAATTGTGATTTTCTAATAAAATCAAAGATGTGTTACTTGAAACTTTAAAAGATTTATACATAGATACATGCAAAATAATGACAAGAAAATAATTCTTCTAATTTTTAAATAAACTTTAAAAGAGAAACATTAAAAAAGCATGAAAAAACTAAATATAAATATTAAAAGCGGAAAATAAAAAGAAGAATCTTAACTTTCAAAAACAAAAAAGAAAGAAAGAAACCTAGAAACAAGATTCTTATATATGTACAGAAAAAAAGAAGCGGAAGAACTAGAAGGATGAATGAAGAAAAAACATAAAATAATCTGATTCAGTGCTTAAAGTTCATTGGCTAGGAATAATCTTAAAACAAATAATAAAATATATAAAATTGCAAGATAAAATACAAAGGATAGATTAAACATAAATATACACCTATTTATACCAGAATGACTCAAATTACACTAGTGTAAATTACATTTATTCTTATAATAATATTATGAAAATAAAGATCCTTTTATAATAATATTATAGATATTTAATTTAGATAAAGCCTGATACAAATAACTTAGATAATGTTGAAAATTATTTTATATATTAAGTTATTAATAATATAAGTGTAAGTATAGTTTAGTGATTTAATCCCTTCCACAGACGTATATAATTCTCAAACCCATATCTAAGTGTATCTTTCTACATGACTTTTAATCAAGTAATCGAGCCACACGTAAGTCATGCTTCTCATTTATCTCACTTTTACTTTTCTTTTACGTGGAAAGAGACTTTGTATATCCAACTGTATACAAATTCTGTACATACTAAGGCAATCTACACTACTGAAATTATACTGTCCCACACAATTATAATGATATTAAGGTACACAAGAATCTATCCCGCATGCCGCATGCAATGCCTTCAAGTCCTTTATTTATTTTTCTTTGGTTTGTTTCCATGTTATTTTTGTTATTATTTCAAATATTCTCATGACTTCACATCTTAAAGCTTGCCCCCACCCAACAGAATCTGGATGTTGTGCACCAGTCCAAGCTGTATAGTTTACAAAATACCAAACCACTTGAGAATTTGATCTCATTAATTAATTCCCTAGCATTGGGGTTCGTATTTATTGGATCTTTGACATGTCAAAACTCTTTTGTCTTTAGCCAGGAAAGATAATGAAGAAAACTCAAAGTGACCCATGATTGCTTGGACCGTAGCCAGTATGATCGATCTAAACCTGTAAATCAGAGGTATTGCCCCACTTGAGATATGTTTTTGTTGGTAAGATGAATGCTAATGGAGTTGCTAACTTTGATTTATTTTGATGATCGTTCAATGGAGAAAGCATTTATAATGTGTCACTTTAAAGAAGTGGGAGACAACAAAATCAAACTGTGAAGGAATAGAATCACTTATGATGAATATTAAATCCTGAAAGTCCTAATCCCAATCCCAAACCTATGTTCAACAGTTTATGCATAGGACCCAGAATTGGCTCGTTTTACAAAACCAACCAATTGCAGCACTTTACACTAGCATCTTGTAGATGATTTTTTTCTGTTTACCGTGCCAAAAGAAACTAATTTTTACGTACATCTTCCTCCTAGTTATATTCTATGCTATGCTAGCTACCTCAAAAAATAAAATAAAATGGTAAAATTGGCATTCATTTGACTTACTGATCACGATTTATTTTCTACCCTAGTCAGTTATTATATAAGCACTAACACTTCAATACTTTAAAAATAATTAAGTCAAATGATAAATAGTGTTTGTTCTATCTCAATTGAATAAGTGATAATAATTAAATATTCTAGGTTCAAACCATAAAGGTTTATTAGATATATATATATATATATAGATCCGAGGATGAATATGTAAAAAGTATGTTTGGGAACATATATTCTTTTCCCTTACTTGATATATGTTAGTTATAGATATTATTTCTTTAGACTGTACAGGTTAGATATAACAAGTTCCCTATGAACTTCACATTGAAACAATATTTGTAGAAGCAATAAAATATTAAATTTATTTAATATAGGGTAGTACTAATTTTGTAGAGATTTTACATCCTTTAGCAGTTTCTTTCTTAGTAAGCGTGTTATTTCCTATTAAAATTAACATTGGAATATATAATACCTTTTAAATGTAAGAGTAAACTATATTCTTAATGCATAGCATAACATTATTGATCAAACTGGATCTACAAGAATAGTTAAGTCCCACTCAATCTACATTTTTTTTTCTGTCAAGCGACTCAATCTACCTGAAGATTGTTGCATGTGCTGGTCCAAAATTATGGTAAAGGTGACGATATCTGTAAGGGTACTTTAATGCGCAGTTATATTTGAAATACAAAGATTAAGGTACATAAAAAGTATGAGTTAGCATCTTTTTAACATGACAAATTTGGACACTCACATCTTTTAATAAATTTTTATAAAATACAAAGTTAATCAATGTAATATATATATATATATATATATATATATAATAATAATAATAATAATAATAATAATAATAATAATAATAATAGTAATTTTTACGTAATTTGAACATGTGATCTAACAATGTTTCAACGAATGTTACTCGTATAAAATAGTATGTTTACTTCATGTCGATGAGGTAATCTCGCAATATGCGGTGTCCCTCTAACTGATGAACATATTAGGCATGCATTAGATAAGTGTCTGGGGGCATTGAGTAAAGCAGGTCCTGCCAAGGTTGGCCTCCAATGGCCCTCGACCCAATATTGGTGCTAAGCTTTATTGGTTGATCTTGTTGATGTAAGCAGAAAGAATTAGCGCCATTTTATTTGATTCAAAACAACTATCTAATTGAATCTGGAAACCCACTATGAGCATGTCATTGTTTAAATGTATATCATTCAGGAAAAAAAAATGTTATCTTCTGTTACACACATTAAGCAATTGCACATACAGCACAGAGTTTCTTTTAATTAGAAAGTATTATCTAGTATGCTATTATAGATTGAGTTGAAATCTTTTTTCTCTGAGATAAATGGTTGCTTCCTCTGTGGCAAACAATTAAATGAATAACCATGGTAATTTTTTAGCAGCGTGTTTCGTTTTGCTTTTTTATTTTATCTGGGACTTCAAAATTTTATCATATACACAAAGTTGCAGTTGAAGTTTAAACGTGTGTTAATAAGACATATCTATAACATGTATTTAAATATATGCTAAATAGTATTCATTAAAATATAACTACATGCTCGAATAAGATAATGAAAAGTGCTAAGATGTTAAATTTTTACTGTATATTTTAAAGAGACATTCTTTTGTTCTGTGACAAAGAATTTAGTTGCCAAACTATATCCTTAAGATGTTCCTGGTTGATTTGCAAAGAATATTTAGAAATGAAACTATGAACTTGTTTATTTTGGACTCGAAGTTAATATTATACTTTAAATTGAAACAATCTTGTGCTAGTTGATCTGTGTGTTTGTTAGTGTAAAATACACATTCTAATAAAAATATATGATTTAAATTAATTCATTTATCTATTTTAATTATATTTTACAGTTCAAGGTGAGTTTTATTCAATTTTAAATCAAACAAATGATATATTGAAGTAGACTAAATTTTCCTTCTAGAGAGTTGAAAAAGTCAATAAATTGGGAAGTTTGAAATAGTTAAAAATTAATGGTTTTAATCTAAGTATCTAAAAGTAATAAAATTTTATTAAAAATCAAAGCATTATTAAATTGGAGATACAAAAGTATAATAAAGTGCTTTATTTTTTTTAATAATTTTTGTTATTATTAAATGTTTAAATTTTACTCTAAAGGTTAAAGTTATAAAAATCAAAATATTAACTATATGAATTAAAATAAACAATAAAATAAATTGACGCGATAACTCCATAACTTGCGTTTGAGCTAGGTTTAGTATATTATAAAAGTAGTTTTTTTTAAGACATTGTACCAAATGTGGTTAGTGACGAAAACTCCACTTAGTATCAGTGTTGGCTCTACCTATTTTAAGCGATGGCGCAGATCATCATAGTTGAGGTGAAATTTAGCGCTCATAGTTTAGAAAGACAAAGCAAGGAGGAGATGGAAACAACACAAGTGTGCTTTCTTTACTATTTGTCCATAGCAATGTGTTGTTGCTGTCAGTGCTGTGGCAACATAGTGCAAGCCATTGAATTACCAAAGTACACAATGATACTGTCTGAATCAGATTTTCAGATCAGACTCTACAATGAGTCCTCTTGGATGTCAGCCAGTGTTTCAGGAACTTCTTTCGAACAGTCCTACAAAAGTGGATTTCACAGGTTTTACTTTACCACTGCATAATGCTAGCTGCTTGTTATAATTAATTTAATATTCAAGTATTTTCTTGTGTCAATACATATGAGGTATTACAAGATTTTTAATAAATTATGTAGTGGTATAAATTATAATACATATACAACAAATAATGCTGAAAAGAACTGCTCTTCTGTTTATTAAAGATGTAATATTAAACAATTCTTATTTCTTTATGGATCAAGTAGGCTGAAGTATAACTCTAGGCACCCCTTATTTTTCTGATAAAATGTTGAATTTCAGCATAAGTTATTTGAGCCTCATTCTGCATTATCTACGGGCTTGTTAGAGATATATAAATTAAAACTATGTTTCTTCACCTAATTTAAGCTTTTGCTTAGTTGGTTCATGACATTGTTCCCTTTTCCTCCTCAACCATGGAATGAATATTTATATGAGACAGTAAATATGTATGTAATGCAGTATCAAGTCGTCTTTGTATTTTAATTTCAGAAATACCTTTTCCACTTCCGCAAATTATGATAGTTTAATATTTTATTTAGTATACTCCTTTCGTTTATATCTTAATTCTTAATCATGGACCAGGTTGTATCAATATATTCATGGTGGCAATTCGAATTCTTCAAAGATTGCCTTTACTGCTCCAGTCCTAACGAGTGTCCCCTCATCACCCACTGATGACTATATTGTAAGAGGGTATGTATCAGCTCATTTTCAAGGGAAACCTCCGCTGCCCAATGCTGAACTGAAGTTGCAGATGGAGAAATGGAAAACTCAGTGCACTGCAGTTAGGAAGTTCGGTGGATATGCCAAGGATGACAACATTAACAAAGAAATTGAAGCTCTTATAACCAGCCTAAGCAAGCATTTCAATGGAAGCTCAGCAACTATACAATATACAAGCTCCTATACCATTGCCCAATACAATGCTTCCTATCATAATACTACTGATCGCTTAAATGAAGTGTGGATAAGAGTGTCAGGACTCAGGACCGACTGCTGAGTAACCTTAATAGTACAGTATCTTGTGTCAGTATCATTGTGCTTTTGGGGTGTCCTTTTCAGTGACATTGTGTTTGAACTTTGAAGTGTCTTAGTTCAGTGTCATTGTTAGTTCAATGTAAATAATGCTTCCCCTCGAAATATGCATGGAAGAAACTTGACAAACTATGATTTGGCAATTACCTTTTCAAAACAGAAACCAAACTAACCATTAATTTACGGTCTTTTGCTAGTCCACCATTCAAAAGATGGTGCATTAGTCACACGCAACATTTGCTAATGATATATTTTTTTTCTATCTTCTGATTTAAACTGTTGTGACCTTTTTTTATCAGCCGTACGTTACTTGCAAAGAGAATATATAATTCTTATATATTTAAAATTTATTGATTTGATCTTTTATGCAAAATGAAAAAGTCACATACTTTTCATAAGAAGTGGTTACAGTAATACTTCTCAATATATCAACTTTATGTAACAAACTTATTTGATATAAATTTTCAATAATAGATTATTTCAATGTAACCCCTTGTTACTATAATACTTATGATCCCATATCCAATTCCAAGTAAAGGAGGAGGGTTGTATTTTGCCATCGACAGTAATATAAAATTTGTTGAAACATTTACCAGCCAACTTCACCTAATGGAATGAGGTTTAGTTGTTGCTGTTAAACCCCTTGTAAGTATGTTCATTTAATTGTGTAAGCAAAGTTTGTGAGTGCATGCATGATTGGAGTGAAACAGCTAACTGAACTAAAGGATGCTACCATGTATCAACCATAATTGAATAACTAACTGAGCATCAGTTCTATTTTAAAATGTTGAATACAACTTGTACCCTGATAAAATTTCATTTTACTTTGCAGTGAGTTATGGTGTCAAAGTACACTCATTTCAATATACCTTCTGATGAATAGCCAAACGAATGTGAAAAAACTGAAACCTTTAAAAAGTACAAAAGATTAAAAGAATTTCGTCCAAACTAAATAGAGAATTTGAAGTGTCAGTTTCAGTTCCTAAAGAACATTTGATAAGAATGTTCTACAACGTTTCAGTACGAACTGCAGACCACCATGCTATCCTACTACAGATCACCATACTATATCAACTAAAGCTCTTAACGGAATGGTTATCATGGAGTAAAAAATCCTAACGTTTGAGAGGTAAGCCTTAGAACTCGCCTGATCATCGTTAGCAGAATTTGTTAACCACAGATACACACAGCATCTGCAGATTGGATGCCGCATTTGAAAAAACGATTCAGCACATCTTACTGTATTTCATGTTCTCCATCTTCCTTTCTTGAGTTTTTAGTTAGTGAAGCCCTTTCTCCATCTACTGTAGTTCATCACTGTTTTAATTGAGCTTCTCCTTGCAGAGTTTCTTAATTTCCCATCGTTGTTTCTTTCTTTGTTCCCACTCAATATTGAAATGAAAAGACAAAACATTAAATGACAATACAGTGAATAATTTTAACTCTATACGACTGTTGACTTTGTAGCTCAAATATGTTCCCACTTTCTTACTCTTTAGTCTTTACCATTTGCTGGAGTTTGTCTTAGACCTCCACTATTACTAAAACGTTAATCATGAGTGCTAAAATCAAAGTTAATGAAACCATCGAATGCAGCGTTAGGCTAATGATTTTAAGTAACGTAAAATTTAAAATAGTACTCTGAATAATAATATTGAGTTCAATACCATATTATCGAAGCTAACCGTGGACCATAGACCTCAAGTAAAAAAGCAATCTTGATTAGGAAGAAGCAAATTTAGATGTAAATAGATAGTAGGAAAAAAGAATTGGACCATTTAATTTTTTTTCTTAATTTACTTCTATGGTTTATTTACTGATAAATTATTCCTTAATGTATCGCTTACAATAAATCTATAAGCTAAATTTGGTAATCCGCAGGTTTACTCTCAAACTCACAAGCTACCTCAGGCATGTTTGAAACGCCATGTTGCACGATAATGAATGGTTGAGGTAGGCGGCTCATATGATATGGATCTAGTGGCCTACATTTGTGGTCTGGTCTGGACAACATAGACTTTTCCATCCTTGATGACACCTTCAATGTCCTGAGGAGAGCCATACAACTCTTCAATTGCATTTCCTGCACGGGCAATGCTTGACAAGATTGACTGGCGAAAACTACCATCCTGGATCAGTTGGTCTGATGAATAATCAAGCACCACTTTCTCCGCCTCATCCATTGGGACACTGTTCAGATAGAAAACTCAATTAACCAATGTCAGAAAGCGTGAAGTTGAACTGCAAAATAATTAATTCAAGGAGGTATTTCTCAATGCACATACTACAGACAAACTGAGTTCATACAGCAACTAACAACTGCTAGCAACATTAATAGGCTTTGATTGCTAGTAAAGCTGAGCTATCATCAGTAGCATGCAGTTATAATAGTGAGACTAAAACAGAATGAAATGAATTGTCAAAGCCAATGAGGGTTTCTTCAACTGTTGGATCTCAAAAGTCTTGGGATCAAATTCATTGATAATTCTTCATTGACGTTAAGTACCACAACTGGACTTTACGGCCTGTGATCCTAGCGTAAAATTTATACTACTAATTATATTTCCTTCATTTATTCCATTTACATTCACACTTAAATTCTACTAGCATGTTTGGTTTCACGTTAGCATACAGGTGGATCCATGTTTACTTCAACACTATTAGTTATAGTTTTTGCGTTGGGTCTACATTTACGAACATTCTACAGTATTTTCAAACACACACACCAACATCCCTTAAGGTGCACCCTAGTAGCAGTACAAATTCAAAGCACAGGAAAAACATGAGAAAATAACAAAACTTGAATTTGCAACTTACTATGAAAAAGCATGTCTCAAAATTATAATAGTCATAAAGTTAGATTTTCAATAATCTAGTTTCTTAGAAGCACAAATAGTACTTCAATTAAGCTGAGCTCATAAAAACGATCAGCAGAAGGAATGAGAAAGAACAATAATTAAAAATGTATCAAAAGTAACAAGCCTTTATGGTTCAATCCTTATGCACTCCAACTTTTGTTCTCACCAAAAAGTGAAAAAAAATGCTTAAAAAAGTGGAGGGGAGATAAGAAAGAAAATAAATTCAAAACAAGCGATATTTGGTAATGAAGGTATGAAAACAGATACCAAAAGTTGAGATACAGTTCTTTACTCAATGTAATATGCATGGAGATACAAGAACTATACTCATCCTTACACATATCATTGTTATTCTAGACATGTTATGCTACACAAATTTAATGTTCAATTTGTTTGGAAATGATTTGTTAGGATCCATTTGCAACATATAGGACTTGAGTCTCACATTGGAAGGATGGAATTCTAGTGTGGAGTTTATAAGGCCTTGGACTCTCCAACTACAACAGCTAACTTTTGTGGAGTGGTTCTCCCAAGGTTCTTATCACTTATGTTCTTTGATATATATATATATATATATATATACTTTGCCTCAGTTTCATATTGATTATAAGGGGAAAACAGTTAAATAATAGTAATTTCATTATGATAAAATAAAACATGTGAGTACAGTTCATTCCTTCTTCATTCCATTAGCTCTATGAAAGATGCTCATTGAAGAAGAGATGCCAAAGTCTACCTGTCATAAAGGCCAGCACCAGCATAACCTTCTAGATCTTCACCATTGGAATCAGATCGAAAAATAATTGACTGTCTTATAAATAGGCCAACAGGTTTGCTAGGATAACCCAAGACCTAAAGAAGCCCAAAACAATTAGCAAAATACGGGAAAATTCATATACCAGATGCAGTACTACTAACTGTAATTTCGTATGTCCACTAAGATATTCTTACATTTGATATAATCATAAAAAGAATGATAACTATGGCACTAAGCATACAAAACACTACCAAACCAAACACAAAAAAACAAAATACTACAGAAACAAAAACAAAAAAATGATATAACAAAATTACCAGAGGGGAGTTCAAATCATGTTTTTTGGATATAAAACTCAAAGCACGACCAGGATAAGCTCCAACCAGTGTTTCTCCAAGGCCCTTTACCACCTATATCGAAAGAGTATCACACTCAAATTTTTGCTTCTTTCTTTTCTTTCTTCAATGGCGAGTATGTTTCCTTAAATAGGTGGAAGATAGGGATTAAAACAAGAAAACATCAATTATACCTCAGCATATATTTCTGAAGAATCTCCAGAAGATGGATTAGTTGTGTGGATGACAAAAGCATAGTCAGCATTTATCACTTCCTGAACAAGGACAGCCATTGAAAGATAATCGTGGTCGAGTTTCACTTTTTTTGTGCTGAAATATGCTCTCTCATTCCACTTTGAGCCCCATACCTTTTGTGAATCAAACAAAAAAAGATATTGACTCATGAGCTCTAAAATAAGATTGTACACAAGTGCAAGGATTTTATACTAGAATTTGACGATAAATATAAACTACACATCAAGCATGGATATTTTGCAAGACATGTTTGTTTTGATTGTATATTGCAAGCATGTCCTGGTGCAACAACTACAGAAATTTTAATAAAATGAAACAAGGAAAATCAGTGGATAGTGGATTGTGTTTAAACTTGCATGAGAAAAGAAAATAAATATTACAAACTTAAATTAATTTAAACTTCAAGGATTTTAACCCATTCCATGTGTCATATTAAGGATTGTTACATCTTGAACGTTATATGGGAGCCAATAAATTCATAACTGAAAAAAAAGGAAAGAAACCCAAGAAGAATTATGTTAAAGAATGATTCAGAGAAATTACATAAGAACATTGGACTTCCAGAATACATATTTGTGCAAAAAGTATTTGATATGATGAAAATGAAAGAAAATAGAACTTTAATATTGGCCGCCAATAACATCTCATGAAAAATGTTTCAAATTTATATTGACCACATTTAAAAAATATAGGGCAGTGAACTGTGACCAAATATACAAGAAAAGAAAACATTTTTTGTTGTGTAAGATATAAACTTAAACGAAACAGACGTCAAACCCAATCATGCAACATACAGTACATGAAGAGAAGTCTTAAACCTTTTTTATAGCCGTCCAAGCTTGTTCCCAGCGTTGTACACCTTCATCACCTGGCCAAGGCATTCCAGAACTCTTCATTTTAGTTTTCAACTCCTCCACCTGAACATAATTAATTCATTGGCTTCATCTGTCAGACTCTACATCATTTTACATGGTGTTGTTTACAAACTTAACCAAAAGAGCAGAACTACTTTAGACTAGATATCAAATTTTGCTATTGCGCTAAAATGTGTCATGCAAGAAACAAAGACAGCTTCTTTAACCAATTATAAACAAAGGAGGGATTTGAAAAGAAATATTTGAAGGGGAGAGAAGGGATACTTAAATTTCAAATGCAACTGCAAGAATCAAAAGAAAGATAGGTGTTTGCTTGTATCAAGTCAATGTTTAGCCTAGTACTAAAGCACATACCAACTGGGAAGGTGCATTAAGCTGTAAAACTGTGTCACGAATCTCCTTGAGAGCACTGAAGTCTCCCTCAATCAACTTCATTTTCAAAATATTGACCCTCTCAGCCACTGCCTGTTGATTAATATACAGTACAAAATTTCATTAGACTACAGGAAAGACTTGCACAAAGTAAATGAGAAGAAAGATAAAGTCATGGATGCCACAAATACAGTTTGAATCCTACGGATAACTATGCTATAGAATAAGAGCTTGCCTCTGCAATAACCTCATCTTAATACTCCTAGTCCTAGCTTATAACATTCAACCAGGAACTTTGAAAAGAAAGTGGGGAAACCTCATTTTAAAATAGTGTAGGGAACTTGAAATATATTAAGAAAGGTTCACTTATGATAGAGTACCAAATATGAGTAATGTGGATCATGAAGCAGTACAAGACATGGATCAGCTGGTGGGCTCAATCATGGGAAGCCCAAAATATGGAAAAGTCTATATACATAAGGAAATGAAATGTGTTGGGGATGAGAATAGTTACATGTTGCTTAGCTGGCTAATTGGACACCATACAGTAAGCTTAAGAGAGAGAGAGAGAGAGAGAGAGGGGGGGGGGAATTGCTTATTGGTTGTTGTTGGACAGAAAATACTAATTCTATGAGGAGCCTTGGCTTTGAGTTTTCCTTTGTAAGAGCTCAGGCAGATCTTTGATTACATCAATAATACCGTCCTATGAACTTATCACAGTATTTGATATAAACATTGGATTTAGCACCTAAACATTCATATCCAAATCTATGCTCCAATTACGATTTATTAAACTTTTGTATACAAATCGACAACTTCCCTGGATCAAATACAAGGTTTGCTAGTTTGTTGAGCTGGGACTGTTAGTGAGGGAGGATAATTAGAAAAAATAAGGAATGTTGCCTGTAATAAGAGAAAAAGGTTGAGAGACCCAGACCCTGCATTCTGCCTTACAGACTTCTACCCTTTTTTTCCTCCTTTTTCTTCTTCCTAACTGCTTTCTTATAGCTATCCAAGTCAACTTTCACCCATAAACCCCTTTTAATGGCTTAATTAAATCACTCAATTATTTCCTTATATAAATCACTCAATCCTCCTTGATTTCTGTGCATGCAATCTATTACATCAATCACTCAACTCCTCTTCTTCCATTTCCTAATATAGACCATATTAATTGCTGGTTTCCTAACACCATCTAAAATTTGAGTTTATGTCTAACTCAACCCCAACAACTAGTTTGTAGAGTGAGTATTGTCTTAACTTCTATAAAGTTTTATTTGATCATATTTGTAGTTGATTTGGGACTTCAACAGTAACAATAGAAGTTTGGGTAGTACAATCAACCCTGGAGGATCTTGATATCATCAACTACAACCATATGCCTAGTTTTGTTTGCGAGGGAGCCATGGGATCTCAGTATAATTAGAGTCTCTGATGTTCCATAGCCTAAAGTACCACAGAAAACAAAGAACCAAAGGAGCATGGGGGTATTCACATGTTTGTGTTCGACTCGGGGGAGTAGAAGCTGTTTTTTGGCTGCAGAATGAAATTGGCAAGGTAATCGTGCTTCAATCAGTAGGAGCATCAGTGAGAATTCATTTTAGCAGCCAGAGAGACCCAATATTAGTAGTTTGTTGTTTGTAAGGCTGGGACTTTTAGTAAGTAGTTAGCTGGGTTGGGATAATTAGAAGAAACAAGGCAGTGGCACATTACTTATAATTTATAAATAAGAGGGAAGGTTGAGAAAGATCTATCTTTTTTGTCATTGTTAGAGAATTGGGGCCTTTGAGCATTGGGAGGTGTAGACTCTTGAATTTGCAAGTTAGGCATTATTTTCAAGGGAGAACTCCCTTATTCTTTCTAATGAGATACCAGGTTTCTATCATGTTCTCATTAGTTTTTTTTTTTTTTTAAATAATAATTAAAAAATTTAACCAGTTGGCATAAAATATCCACATAAAAAGTAACCACAGAATGTGAGCTGCACAGTTCATTATGAAACATAAAAACATAATGGCAAAAGGATAACATGTAGAACCTGATTTGATTTATCAGAAAGAACATGTTCAAAAACTCCAAAAGGTATGGCAACTGAGGTAGGAATTCCAATCCAAGAAGGAACTTTCCCTTTTAAATAAGAGATATTGCGAGATTTAGCTCCAACCTGGGAAAATACAACCTTACGCTAGTTATGCTGAAGGAAAACAGTATAAGAATAGTGTATACTAACACACCTTGTGTTTGGCTAAATGATGGGTAGAAAGATGGAGACAGAAGTAAAAAAACCTATAAGTGCCTAAACTTAACAGTGAACAATAAAAACTTACCATTTCACTGGTGAATTCCTCAGATGAGACAGCATATCTACCACTAAACTTCTTTCTGACCAAAGATAAGGGTGACACAGAACCAACTTCTTTCAGGTGAGTTGATTTGTCATCAACAAACTCACCCTCCTTGACCTCGCTGTAACAAATTCCAAAATAAAAAGAAAAATAGTATAAGGAAGTAAAACACAGCAATTCAGGTAGCACAGAAGGAGGTGAAGTGAATATTTTAGCAAAAAGGCATTTAAACATCTTTAGGACATAATCTGAAGCAGAAATAATGTTACCTATAAACCACATCAGCAGATGTAGGCTTTAACTGAAAAAGCTTTCCTTTATTTGCTTGGAGATTATCCAGGATATTAGGATCAAAGCATGTTGCAAAACACACCTGGAAAACTCGAGACTTTAGTATTTGACAGTGAATGCATATGAAAATATTATCAGCAATAAATATCTTATGATTTATCATGCTCATAAAAATTTTTAATATTGATTAATACACTATCCATATATCATTGCATGTATCTTCATGTACAGAATAAAATATCACCTACTTTGTTACATACTTACGTTCATCCAGTTTTTCTAATGCAAAATAAAATATTATCTCTATTTTATAATATATTTGTTGGGTAAAGGGCATCACATTCAGTAACAGATTAGCTAATGATGCAAGTGAGTCAAGTCTTACAACATTATTAATTGAAGATGATGCAAGGGCGTCAAATCTTACGACATTATAAATTGGAAGTCTAAATTTGATCATATCAATTCAAAGAATTTCACTGACTGAATGCTGAATTAAATGATAACCAAATTCTGAATCAGCTGAAACGAAGCTGAATTGTTTTTAACATAATAACTGTAAAGAATTTATTTTAAGATATGATAGTTGATTAAGCGTGTTAATTTATTGTTGGAGCATACAATAAGATGCCAATATACTTGAGAACTGAGATCATGGTATTTGCCTATCGGAACACTGATCAACTGTCAAATTAAATATGCAAAACACAGGTCCATCATAATATAGTATCCTTAAATAGACAAAAAGAACCTGGCTATCCATGGCATGATACCTTGCTATTTCTTGCTCGCACAGAAACATGAGATAGAACATCAGGCATATCAGGTGTCAGGACGGCAACTGTACCATCTGGAATTTCTTCCTCTCCTTTCACACTCTTGGCTAGCAAAATTGTAGGTCGCTCATATGACTTGTTTTGAACAGCAAGCAACTCATCGACAACTTCAAGATATCCAACAGCTTCAACTGGGCTAATAACCTGCCAGCTGTTTCAGGCAACTATAATTGCATTAGATTATAATTATCTAAACAATGAAATAATGTTAGACAGTCAAACATGCTAACTATATTATATTAAAGATCAAATCAGGGCTTGAACAAGCATGATCAATTCCACCTTCCAAGATTAGCTGTATTTCGGAGTACAGGATCCAGTCGATTTAGAAGAGTAGACAAAGAAGCAGCTGATCCAGCACGGATAATTTCTTCAGTAAATATTTCCACCTGAAACAGGAGATTTTCAAGAGAGAAACAAAGGAGAGAAAAAATTATGGAAAACAACACAAACAGGAAAAGACATACAGCCCATCTGTCAACACCAAGTAGTGATCCAAGGTATTCTGCGGAAGGTTGCAGAATTTCCTGGTATAAATGTGCCTTGTCTGCGAGTGCAAGCCGTGTTCTGTCAAGGACTGCTTTTGCATACAATGCCCAATGAGTGTCTTTACTCTTGTACATGCTTAAGGCAAGATCCCATCCCTTTAAAAGAACACAGAAATATTAAATTATGGGGAATATTTTTCTCTGTCTAGACAAACAGACTATGTACATCTATAAGACCCTGCACACTACTTCTATTTAGCACCAATACTGAAACAATACCTGCGGTCTTCTGTTATTATTATGAATCTTTTATTAATCATAATCAGTTTTGATGAGGTTCTGAATTTTGCACAAAAAAATCTCAAATTAATGAGGAATTAGAATTTGTAAACTGCCGTTGTTGAAAGAACTTCTCACATTGTTTATCAATATTACTTTAAATCATTTAAAAAGTATAATTGACCAAGATAAAAATAACAAATAATGTACAGCTGTAAATAATAACAAAGGTAATGACATGAATGTATAATTTATACTAAATTCATCTTGCATATTTAAAACAAAACATTTTAACAGCTCGCACAACCCAAGTCTTTGCTCTTATAGTGAATTTTTTTCAGATGACAGACCACATAAATAGGCTTTAATTTATATGCCTGGGCCAGAATTTCAAAATAACCTCACTAGTGAGTATGGAATAAAAATGGGAATATCACTATACCTTCAAACAGTAGATAAGATCTTCATTGTTGTCCGATGAAAGTGCAAGATTTTCAAGAACCAAGCAGATAAAATACATTATTTTCTGCATAACCCACACATCAATATATCAGACTTCATACTTTTTCACATTTTAAGATCTATTAAAAAATTGATTAAAATAATATATATCCAAACAAATAAACTCAGTAAGCAACATGGAAAACAATTAGACCATCAAAACAGGAAATCACCTCCGGTCCAGCATTGTTTAATGCCTCATAACCTCTTTCCACTGCTGTTCTAACTGTAGAATCAAGGGCAACATCTAAAAATATAAGATCTTTCAGACGACTTTGGGATTTCCCGAGTGATGGTTGGAGTTCCTGACGAGCTTCAAGTAACCCCTATTGCATAGAAAATATATATATATATATATTACTATTAATAAGGGCTAGTGCTTTGTATTTTGTACCACATCAAATCAATATCAATTTCATGTCATTCATTAGCTTTCCTATTTTACCTTTTTACCACATGTAGATTCTATTATTTCAATACAAACCAAAAATAACTATTGATAATATTAAAGCAGCATAAACCTCAAGAAGTGGTTCAACATCCTTATCTTCAATGTGTTCCATGACAAACTGAAGTAATTCCTGCTTGAGGGTGATCAAACAAATAATTGTTATAACACAGAAGACATAACAGCATTTCAAACAAGTTCATAAAGAGTTAATTAACATTACTTGAAAACCACTAGGCAAACCAGGCACTGGATTTATCTGCACCCCAACCATGAAGCCCTGACCCTGAAGAACGGTAAAGTCTATAGTAATAACATGAAGATCTCTCAAAATATATAAACACAATGGTGCCTTGAGCAACATAGAACTTTACAGTCTTGTTACCTCAGATTTGTAGCCCATACAATTTGAAATAGCAGATTCCAGATCTGCACCAGAATGAACTGCCTGCATATGATGTAATCAAACCAAAATCATCATATGAATATAATCCATAATAGCTAAATATGTCATGACTCGAGAGTAGTAGGATGGGCAACACAGATTGGATGAAATTTTCCTAAAAGACCATCAAAATGAACTACCTGCATATGATGTAATCAAACCAAAATCATCACATGACAAATATAATCCACAGTAGCCAAATATGTCAAGAGGACTAGGGTGGGAAACACAGATTGGCCAAAATTTTCTTAGAAGACCACCAAAGAAGAATGTAGTAGGCGCCTATAGAATGTAAGGTAGAAACTCAATGAACTTCCCCTTTTCCCCTTGTAGCTTATCATTGGCAATAACAAACCTTATCTGGAATAAATTGAGCTTCAATTTGTTTACTTTCTTATGCTATCAGGCATACGAAGAGGAAGAGGTAAAAGCTGCAATATTCCTATGATGATAATATTCCAATGTACACCCATATAAGTACAACATAAGAATTATAGCAAAATGATAAATATTGAATAGAAGCCAGAACTTGAGCATTTTCAACTGATGTGCAATCACTAGATGAAAAAGAAAAAACAAATAAGAATAAAAACACATAGTTAAGGTCACCTATATGAATCCAACCTTTAAAGTCCTCATGTAGTTTCCCAGATCTTGCAAAAGACCTTCCTTTTGATCTCTCCTAAAATTTGGTTCAGAATGGATGGCACGGTCATAGCTCAATAGACGTTCTTTCGTTATTCCACTGTCATTCAATGTTTTCCAGTAAACACCAATATCAAAGTCATTATTTATATAATCAATTAGTGCCTGCACAGATTTACCAAAACATCAAAAGTGAGGATGATGAGGAAAACCATAAGGATTACAAAAGAATAACAACTATATTACCTGACAGATTACAACGTCATCAGGACTAGTATTATTGTGTAACTTCTGGTGCCATTCCTCCATCATTCCACCCTTGCAATCATTCTTTCTCTGCAAGTCAAAAAGAAATTTTGCATGTAATTTAAGATCAATGCATATGCAAACAGGAGGGATATGAATGTAAAGAAAATGAAAAACATATTTACCTGGATGACAAGAATTTCATCTCGAATCCGCTGTCCAACATCTCCTTCACCTCCACGACCAACAGTAGACAAGATCATCCTCACAAGTTCCCTATACTGTGGATAACTTGCATATACATCCTGGAGCAAGTCTGTAAGTCTATCCTGTGCTTTACTTATCTCACTGTTCCAATCAGTAACCAATACTGATGAATTAGCTTATTTACAAAAGACAATAAACTAGCCAAATCTAAAGTAGAATGTTAACACTATGATGATTCATATTCTATATTTCTCAGAAGGGCTAAAAATCTTCATTGACCAAAAGTGCATAAACCAAGTGATAATAAACGATAGGAAGCCTACCGTGGCTTCACATTGTAATTTTTGTTCCATACGAGCTGCCTTGTAGCCATGAATCTCATCCACACCAAAATCCCAGCAAGACCCAATTGACCAGCATTTTTGGCTTCATCTACTAAATCCGATGCAATGTTAAATCTGAAAAAAAGCAAAGTACAAGTGACCAACTCAGATCCAACTGAACAAAGTCAGATCCTCATAAATATTTCTTCAAGCACATGAATCAGCAATGATTCTACATAAGATATTGATGAAGGTCAATTACCAAATCAAGGATCGATAGAAGAAAAATAATAATGTGCCAAAAAATCCTCATGCATATGGCATTTTGTTCAGCCAAATGCATCATGGCTGGCACTTGATATTACAGTCGAAAAGGGCAAAAAAAAAAAAAAAAAAAAAAAACAGAGAAAGGTAGCAACAGCAACACACTATTCAACACCTTGATATTGAGTGAAATTTATGTGGGTCTGACTCCTTACTTAGTGGGACTTACATGAATTTCACTCAATAAAATAAGTATATTGTGTGTCCATGAGTATATTGTTAACGTTTCTCTATGTTATTGTTTACTACTTTCAATGAGCAATCGTGCTAAAACCAAAAACAACAAAGACTTGGGCTTTGTTTAAGAGTTTGGAGGGAAAAAGAAGAGAAGAGTATGAGGGGTAAGAGAGATTAGAGGAAGAGAGGGAGAATGAACCCAGATGTAGTCAGGGGATAGGTGCCAATTTGTAGAACATAAAATCAACCTCAAACAAGTGGAAGTTAGATATTTGTTGAGAATATCAACAAAAATAAATCATCAATATAAGTGGTTTCCTTTAACTAATTCATCCCTTTGATATTAGCTACTGATCTTTTAAAACCTGTGTATACACACCCACACACAAGAGCTGATAATCAAATTAGGAGGTACATTTTCAAATTTATGATGCTACTCCCTCTAGTCATTTTTATGAAGTAACATTTAGAAGGCATTTTATAATTCCTATGAAGCATTTATTACTTTTGTCCGATTTTCCCTTAACAAATGAAGTTAGTGAGAACCTAAATTAACACTAGCAAGGGTACAAGTTGATAGTGGGATTTAGTTCAATGATATTCAAAGCAGATAAAATTGACATGTTGAGGTACTTAAGCCATGCTTTGCAGCAAAAGCAAATTATGGTTTCTAGAGATCTTGTACAAAACCTTGTTCTAGCATTTGATGACAGATAACAATAATATAATATAATAAAAATAGTTTTAAAGGGATTACTCACCTATGCATGAAGGACTTTTGTGCCTCACCTTCCTTTTCTGCTATTTTATCCAACAAGAACTTAGCTGTACCTTTGCCATCACCAAAATCCTTTTAATGGAAAAAAAAATTTGTTGATTATAATAACATGGTGACATAGGTCAACATAAGAGAAATTACAATTAAAATATCAGGAAATATAACCTTTTGTATCTGCTTCTTCCCAACAAATTCAATGTAAAAATTTGATCCATTGTTTTTTATCCATTCTCCGTCTGACAGAATGACAAAAGGCATTCCTTTAAAACTATCATCATCAACCTCAATATCCAAGGACTGGACCTGAAATTTGTATTGATGTATATTTTCTTTTAAATTTCGGTCTCAAAGGCCTGACAGATTAAGAATACAACTTCAGATTGATATTGTAGAAACCTCATAAGAAGGATGAGATGAAGAACCAGCTTCAAAAGGTGTTTCAGCAGCCTCATTCATAGTAACAGATCCAGGTGGCAGAGCATATGCAGGTGGTACCTGAAATTCCCATTGAGTTTCATGTAAATAAAATGCACATAGAGACATACATGAAACAGATACATCAATTTTAACAGCCAAAGTTTATAATGACAGTATACACTCACCAGCCACTCTCCAGATGCTGTTTTGGATAAGGCCCAGTGCAGTGTAAAAGGTATTTTTGAGTCTGTAGCCAGGTGAACCTTAATCTTACCAGCATCCTTGGTAACGAGGACCTTAAAAATATGAAAGACTATCAAAATTACAATTATCACCAAAAGAAGACGCGCTAGCAGAAAGATATAAAAAATGCAGAAAATATCACTTTGACAAAATTGTCTCACCAAAAGATCATTATCAGCAAGCTTGTGTATTGTCTTATCCAAAACAAGACCTCTTTCATATTCTTCCCTTTCCTTGGCATAACGTTCAATTATTGTCAAGGTTTTTGGAGCCTCTATAAATTGTTTAGCTATATTTTGGGCAACATTTCTGTTGATAAGCTGCATCAAATCCCTCTTTTTCCTTTGTATTCTTTCAACACGGAAGTATTTTTTGGTTTTCAATTGCTTGGCAACTTTAGTTTGTATCTCTCCTTTGTCGATCTTCTTCTGTATCTCATCTAGAGTAGCTCCCTTCTCAAGCTCTGCTAACAATTCTTTTCTTGCTTCCTCAAATTCCATCTGATTCAATTAAACAGTGATGCAGAAAAGTCTAGTTAGATAAAATGAGCATTATAATTTTGAGAACTATATGATTAATACCCAACAGAAAAAGGAAAAATTAAAAAGAATGATGTAAGTTACAAGTTGTTGTTCTTGAGAATAGTTAGGCTTGCCAGCTTTTTCCCAGCGTATAAAAGCTTGAATCTGTACAAGTTGATCAGGGATGGTCTTTGTTTCAGAAACAGAAGGTACCTTTACTTCAGCAGCATTAGTTTTGTTAGTTAACCTTGCACGGAGGTCTTGTACAGAAGTGCCCCTAGCTACTTCCTCCAATAGTTCACCTCGGGCTGCTACATATTCCTCCTAACATATTTGATAAAAATTTATATGGTCATAAGTGGGAAGACAAAGGGCATTAGTTCTGACACATGCATTGAAATATATCAAGCTAAAGTTCAATTCCAGCCACAGTACAAGAGAAAGACAGAATGCATTAATGAAAGTTGTTTCCCATATCACATTGGCTTTTCTACACATGGACTATGGTATAGTGCGTCATCATAAACTTTTAAACCAAAGGAAGGAATCACAATTATCAAATTTTTATGAAAACAAAGGAATCAAATACAGTAAAACCTTTCTCTCCCCTCCCACTCCTCTTCACTTTACTAATTCTAGCAATTTCACGTTGAGAATTATTGAACCAGACAATAATGGGAAAAGGCAGGGAAAGCAGTGAGTTCATATAAACAATGACGATCAAATAATAATCAATTTTCACAAGTAACTTTAACTGCCTGTTGTAAGGGAATTTTTCCTTTTAACTTGCCCTCATAACCACACTTTATGACTGAATAACCACCATTAACAAAATGGATACTCAAAGGATAATTTATAAAAAAAAAAAAAGACTCATCTGCAAACGTGTCCTCACAAGAAGCACTCACAGAGAAGTGTCTATCTAACAGGCACAAGAAAATAATATTCTTATTCATACATCATGTTAGAGAAGAATAACAAGTGGAAGCCAACTCTTTCTTCTGAATATCATTTCATAGAAGCTATAAAAAACCAGAGAGTGGGTCATGAAACCCATTGTGAAGGATCCTAGAACCAAATTAAATGAGGATCAGGACTGGGAATAGCAATGAAGCTAGTGAATACACATGTTAAAAGAAAAATAGCATTAATAGGAGATTGCAAATCATATTCAGAGGTTGTTATGGAAAGCATAATTGAGGACATGTACCCTGGATATATTCAGAAGAACAAGTTTTTGATATATTCTACAAAGGGAAAGCACAAAAGCAATGTAAGAATGAAATAGGGGACTGAAACAAACTAAATGGAAAACCAGGGAAATCACAAAAAGAATCAGCTGCAAGAAACAAAGTAGGAAGCAAACTTCAAAATTTCCAGCCAAATGCAAGACATGAAGATCACTTGATTACTGACCTGCTGTTGCTCAGGAGTGTACAACTGCTTACCCTTTCGTTCCCACCTAAGATATGCTTGAATCTCTACAAGGTCTTCAGGAACTGAAACTTCCTGAACTAGCTTATCTTTCACTGGTAACTTGATATGAAAGTTCTGACCATTATTTTTAAACCTGTAATTAGGAAAAAAAGACCACATAACTATGCTCAAATTTATCATCAAACTATGAATGGAATATACAGGAGTAAGGAAAAACATTATGAAAAGCACACCACTTATTCTGAGCCTCATCAAGGATAAGGAACTCAATGGCTCGAGCAGCAGGATCATCAATTTCTATTTTAAGGAAAGATCCTGCGTCAGACTAATAAGAAAAAAGCAAAAGAAAAAACGTCAAACAATAAGCCAATATTTATCTAAATCAGTAAAGTCAGTTTATTAATATTCATGGAGACCTTTCTTTTTATATATATATTTGGTAGTTACTGTTGAAAACTTACTTTTACAAAAGGAGTTCTAAGAGCTCTGTTTTTATAAACTTTAGTTCCATCAGGTCGACGCGAAGGAAGTACCCACTTTCTGGAAAAAGAAAATAAGGGGGGAAAATATCCTTCAAATTATAAAATAGATTACAGGCTATTATTAACTGATTCACACACCTAAAACACTAGAGGAATATTGAAATAACTTACAGAAAACAGTACTACACATACCCTTGCTTATCACACACAACTCCCCAATGTAAAAGCAGAGAGCCATTATTATTTGAAACCTGAATATCTACGTGTGTTGCAGCTCCTGGTACTGAAGAACTAACACCAACCTGCCCCATCGTATAATAGCATCCATTAGCTAATAATAAATCACTACAATCTCATATTTATCATTCATAAATACAATCCAACATTTTCGGCCAGCAGAATACCTGCAACTCAATATTTCCATCAAGGTTGAACTTCCCTGAAAGCTGCTCCACGGTCAAAAATGCAGTCAATACAGCACTCAAGTTCAAGTTAATAGAAACAGACAAGCAAAGGCAGACATGAATCGTTGGTCAAATTTTTTTTGTGCTTAGCTTTTGACCATTTACATGCTGTCAATAATCTGTGTCGTGAAGCCCTTGAGCATATCATGGCCATAAGGTAACACATTCAAATTAACCACTACATGATTTTTATGGTTCCCCGCCAGTGTCACTTAGTAGGGCCAATTCTTCTGCTCGAAACATTCTCAAGAACAGTAATCACTTTTCAGCATTTACTTTAAAATTACTGTTTCCTTATTACTAGAGCCCGAATAAGATTTTCTCAATAGCATTAAATGAAAATAAGAAGGGTTCTACTAACGAATATCCTAAGGTAATCAATAAATAAAATAATTTCATCGAAAAACATGCATTGAAAATCAGGATAGCACACTTTCTCTTAAATGTTTGTAATTTTTAATTCACAAATCATTGTGTCAGGGCACATTTTAGCATAATAATAATAATAACAACGATGATTTTCCTAATGCGTGGCCAATGATGTACAATAAAAAGTTAATAAATAATAATTTTAATAAATATCATAGTAATTAATGGTATTAATTGATTGAATTATCTAATATCCCGTAATTTCTAATAAAAACTTATTACGAGGCTGGAGTTAGAAAAATCATCATCGTCATCATCATAATAGTAATAGTTAAGACAATGATGAAGATGATAACGATAACCGGATGACGACAATAATAATCGCATTGAAACGACGTAGCGACGATCAACATGTTTGGGTAATTGACGCATACCTCAGAAGCCGGATTGGTGGTTAGCACAGCGCGTGGAATAGCGTCGGCATGGCGGTGCCTTCCCATGGTTAATTTACGTTTCCTCACACACAACCTGTTCCCGCGAAAATTTGTAGAAAGCAGAAACTTCTTTTCTTTGTTAACACTCACTGATTGGAACAAAGTAACCTTACTTTGATGCTCCGCAACCGTTTGAGTTTGACAAAGCAATGTCTGGTGGAAGACACTTTGGCTCATCTTCGTGGATCCACTCCTTCTTCTACACAAATCCAAACATCCGCATTAGCATGCGCCAGTCACCAATCACGACACAAGCTCAAATTCACAATCATAAAAATTCACGATGCGAAAAAAATGATTAATAAAATGAAAAGTTAAATTGGTAAAATCGTTAGAAAATGAGGAAAGAAACCTTCTTCTTCAATCGGTGAAAGGTGAGAGTAGGTTTCAGAAGAGTACGTGAGATCGAAATCGCGTGAAAATGGGAAAAGGAATATGAATGGAGAAAATACAACGTTGATGAAGGAGAGAGCTTCGAACTGTTTGTGTATGATAGCGGTTGATTCACCCAGACTACGAAGCTAATATCGACGGAGAAGATTACGTGGCGCAATGCCATTGGACACGGTTTGGGCGTAATAGGCAGTCACGTGCGGTGTCTCATGGAAACGTGGCTTGTGTGAGGACAGTCCCGTGGGGTCCGTGAGAGCCGATACTTTCTCGTTATGATATTAGGACCATTTTATTCCTTAATTGCCCCTATGCTTTTGCATTTATTTCAACAATACCCTATTTTTTTTTATGATAATTAACACTTCATAATCATAAAAATAATTATACAAAAATTAATAAATATTTCATGCAATACATGAGCATATATTAAAAGATATAAAATTTTAAAAATATTATACATAATTAATTTTAATTAATAAATAATCATTTTAATGATACAAAGTGTACATATATAGATATTTAAATTTTGAAATTTAAAAAAATATTTTAACAATGATTTATAAATATCTTATTATGTTTAATATTAATTAAATAAATGTAAATATTATTTAATAAATTTGTTTAATTCAATATATCTTAAATTTATTGTTTTTATACGCTTTTGAGACGATGATTATAACATTTTACTTCATAAAAAAACTCTTACAGAAAATAAATGATAATTTATTAATGAATATAAAATAACTTTTTTATTTTAACGGGGATTTGAGATCAGTAAGTATTAATGTAATTATAGCTCATAAATGAGTCGCATGGGATCTGTCGGCAATGTATTGCTTTTGTTTGTTTATCATTAAGCTCCCGTGCCATTTTTGTAGTTTCGATCGTTTGACCAGCCAATTTGGTAAATTCAACGGACCGCCTTTCTAGATTCTGAATACTTGATGGATCCAAGATGCACTTGGTAGAGAGATATTTGATAAAATGCGATTTATTTTGTTCATAACTCTGTACATGACTAACCCATCTACGGTTTTGAATAAAGGCCGCCCTTAAATATCTTGTCCCGCAATGCATTATTTCGGCATGGCTTTATCTTGTATGCATTATTAATACAGAATTTTTACTTTGATATTCACTGATATTTTTAATATTTTCTTTTATTTCTTGTTTTTATATTAATCAATAATATAAACAATCATAATAGATAATCGATTAAACTATTTTTTTATTTGGAAAACCAATAAACAAAACTACATGGACGGATCTTAAAAGTAAACTCGACAAAATTACTTATATGTGACTGTCACGGGCAAAATTCACAAGCAACTAGATTTAATCCTATGGATGAGTAGAGTAAAGGGGTTGAAAATGCACAACTTTCACGAGCGAGGAGCTATAAAACAAAGCGATTTTGACGGGAACAGAAAAAACAAAAAGAAATAAATAATAATAAGTTGAGCGGGAGATAAATATCAGAGCGGGAGATACTTGCCCAGCCACACAAGCAAAGCCTTTAACACTTTCATTTGCTTTATATTTGTCGAGGCATGCTGTAGGCAGATTTGCACGCTTTCGCGGCGAACCACATCCAATGGGTCACCCTCTGCTCGCTAGGTCACCAGAGATATAATATACGTCTAGATCTTTCCACTGAGTGATATTAATAGTATGATTGATTCCTTTGAAAAACATTTGCGTCCAAACAAGAAACAAGAGTATGAAGATTATCTTGTATTATATACATATAAAAAAGTGTATTTTTCACTGTTATTTTTAGCGACGCTTAAATAAAAGCAAAGGTGTAATTCACACTAAAACGACAGAAAATCTTGCTCCATAAAAAGAAAAGTTGTTAAAGAAATAAATCATACTGAATAAAAATGATACTTTCAACAACTTTTTATTAAAATAAATTTTACTAATTTAATATTTTAATTTTAAATTATCATAAAGTAGATTAAGATTATACAAGATTTTATAGGTTAAAATTATTTAATAATATTTTATAGAAAATATACATATTTCATTCAATTTGGTCAAAAATAAGAGAAAAAATTAACCTGTAAGATGAAAATTAAAAAAAAGAAAACTTTAAATAGCCATAACTTTAGTTAAAAAAACTCATAATTGAACTTCTGACCTCAACTTTTAGGATAGCTCAAAAAGATCTAACTAGTAAAATATAGTAAAGTCCAATTTGGATTCTGAAAATTGCAAAACAATAATGTTGTTTAAAAAAAAAAAAAGGTTTTATTGTGTCAATTTTTGCAATTTTTTATTTAAGATTAAAATTAGTTTTTTTTTTTATAGGCAAAACAAATCTTATTAAAAAGAGTTCAAGGGAAACTCAAAACCCATATACACAAAAAATTACTTACTCAGAGAAATAAAAAACAAAAATATACTTATGCAAAATTAAGACAGATGCAATTTCGTGGGTTCAAATACCAATCAGCTAACATAATAGCTTCTCCCTTACTAACAAGTGATAACCATTTCTAGGATCTCAGAATAATAGAATCTAGGACTTCCCTCTCATCCAAAACACCATTGGAAAATATAATTCTATTTCTATGCAACCACAAAGACCACACTGTACTTACCTAAATAATTAATAAGCATATTCCTTCTCTTTTAGTACAGCTAACACCAACCTAAGAAAGCAAGTGAGTCAATAAATCTGAAGGCAAAACCAGTGAGAATCCAAGCCAACGCGCAGTAAAGTACCAGATTTGAGATAAAACTGAGCACGTTAAAAATAAATGAGTTGGAAGTTCCTCCAAACCATGACAGAAACAACAAGTTATATCATCAATTTGAACACCACGATCAATCAGTAAACCTTTACAAGGAAGTGCATTCAACAACAATTGTCAAGAAAAAACCAGACACTTAAGATGGACCTTCCCTCTCCATAGCCTTTGCAAGGCATCTACCATACACTGATCTACACTATTAGGACCACCAAAAAGTTCAAATAGCCATGAATACGCAGATTGCATTGAATAACAACCTGAAGAATCCGCCCTCCATACCCATTTATCTTCTTGTAGTAACTTAATAGAAACTCCATCCACAAGCTCCAACAAAAGATTAAAGCTTGAGATCTCATGTTGAAAGAGTCCTCTTCGCCAACTAACATTCCAAACCCATCTAGTGCCATCATGAAAACCATTCTCTAATACACGTGATTCAGCATTTCTCACCACTGCAAATAATCGCGGAAATGCTTCACACAATCGCACCCCTCCTACCCACTTATCTCTCCAAAAAAGAGTGTGTAAACCTGCACCCACACTTCTATCAAACTTCTCATCCAGCCATGAATTCCCTTGATGAATAACCTCCAGTAAATCACGCCACCACAAAGAACATCTGTTGTGAACTGATGAACGCTGAAGAGAAGAAGCTAATCTTCCATATCTAGATTCCAACACCCGCACCCACAATGAACTAGAACAGTTAACACCTCGCCACAACCATTTACCAAGGAGCGCCCAATTAAACCATTGCACATTCTTAATGCCTAAGCCACCATTCTTCCGCGGTCTACATACAGTTTTCCATTTCACCCAGGGGATTTTAGATCCATCCTTAACACTCTTCCATAAAAAATTCCGTTGGATAGTGACAATTTCCTTTATTACCGACTTCGGCACCTTAAAAAAGGATAACGAGTGCAATGACATAGAATTAAGAACGGCATTAATCAAAGTCACCCTACCTCCAATCGATAAATACCTATGCCTCCATGACGCTAACCGCTTTTTAAGAGCCTCTAACACACCCTTCCATGCACTAGGCTTTCTCGGGTTAACACCTAACTGTAACCCGAGATACTTTAATGGAAAACTACCAATCTTACAATGTAAGAACTCCGCAGCCAAGTTTTCAAAGTCATCACTAGTGTTAATCCCCAATACAAAAGATTTATGGAAGTTAATTTTCATACCTGACATTAATTCAAAGCTACGCAATACTGCTTTCAAAGTCCACAAATTCTGCACCGAAGCCTCTCCCATAATCAATGTGTCATCCGCAAACTGCAGCAAAGAAATATCTGGTCCCCCTTCCCCAATCGTCACACCAGAGAACAACCCACAAGTCACTGCCTTTCGCATAAGAACTCCTAACCCTTCCGCTGCCACAAGAAAAAGAAAAGGGGCAAGAGGATCCCCCTGTTTTAGGCCCCGCTCAATATGAACCTCCAATGTAGGACAACCATTAATCAAAGCTGATAGGCTTCCCCCACACACACAAGCTTCCATCCAACTGACCCATTTGTCTGAAAATCCAAAGCTACGTAACATAAACAAAAGATATCCCCACTCTATCGAATCATATGCCTTCTCATAATCAAGCTTTAACACAAAACACCTCTTATTATACCTCCGCACATAATCAACTGCTTCATTAGCCACAAGTACACTATCTAACATGTTCCTTCCCGGGATAAAGGCTGATTGTTCTTCTAAAATTATTGAATCCAAAACTCTTTTCAACCTATTTGCCAAAAGCTTGGAAATAATCTTATAAAGACAACCTAATAATGAGATAGGCCGAAAATCAGATATCTGTTGTGGGCAAGACACTTTTGGCACAAGTGCTACAAAATAAGATAATAAAGACTTAGGTAGCTTCCCATTTCTACAAAATTCAGTAAGCATACCCATCACTTCTTCCTTGATCACTCCCCAAAACCTCTTAAGGAACACAAAATTGAAACCATCAGGCCTCGGACTTTTATCACCCTCACACTCCAAAATCATCTTTCCCACTTCCTCCTCCGAAAAAGCATTAACAAGCTCCTCATTTTGTAGAACAGAGACTCTTGGTAAATTATTAATATCAATAGTAGGTCGAAGCCAACTTCTACTACTAAAATGAGCCGCAAAATAGGACACCACACCTGTTTTAATCTCATTAACCTCTTCGACACATCTCTCTCCAATTTGGAGCGCATGTATATTATTTCGTCGCCACCTCCCATTAACACATAAATGAAAGAACTTTCTATTTAAATCACCCTCTTTCCCCCATCTCACCCGAGCTTTTTGGGCTATGAGACTCTCTCTATTCTTCCTAGCCTTCCAAATATCACCCACCAACATTTA